ACCGGCCACTCCATCGGAGAAAGATGAGGCTTTCTGCTCCTGTAAAGAATCACCAGTCTCACCCACCCACAGAGGCAGTCTACTCTGTCCTGTTGGGTGGTATGTGAGTCAGAATTGAGGTGTTGGCAGAGAGTGAGAGTGATATAGACACATGTAGATAATATAGAGAGGCATGCAGAAAAACATACATATAAATCCCACAATTACTCTGTACTTAACGTCTTATTCTTATGGCCTTTGTTATTTTAACTTAAGAAGCCCGGTTTATTCTAACCCTGCTCCCACTCATAGGCCCCATGGCTCGTCAGGAAACAGACACGAGAGAAAGGAAAGGACATTTTTCTAGCACTCTTTTCTCAGCAGGAGATCCCGGGTGGTGTAGGAGTTAGCAAGGTCAAAAGCTGGGGACCACCAGCCCCTCTGAGGACACAAGGATGGGCCTTTCTACTTCCGTGAAGAGTGGCGGTCTCAAAAGCCCACAGGAGCAGCTCTGCCCTGTCCCATGGGGTTGCTGTGAAACAGAATTGACACCGTGGCAGCCAATTGGGTTTTAAGATTTTTTTCTCAGCATCCTGGGATGCTAAGGTGCCAGGGCTGGAGTAGGTGACAGGTGGACCTGATGCTCACACTGCTGAGACCTGCCCTGCCAGAGTCCCTGAGCCCAGGACCGGGGATACGGAGCTTTGATACAGCCCCCTCCCCCCACCAGAACGCCTTATCAATGTGAGCCCCAGTGGCCCCTGCCACAGAGGCTGCGGTTCTAACCCCAACAAGAGAGAGAGAGAGAGAGAGAGAAGTCTTAGATGTAGGGCCTAAGCAGGGTCCGCTTCCCCTACTGCTATGTTCTGCCTTCCTGGAAATGGAATTTGGGTTGAGTGAGTTTGCACTGCACTGTAATACACATCTGATGTTACACAGAATCTTCAAAAGCAGAACACAAAGCCTCATTTTATTCAAAGGTGCCTCCAGGATCCTGAGGTGTCAGCGAATCCTTGGTTATTCTACAGGGTTGAGGCACTACCAGGTAACAACCTCTGCTTGAAATTCATCAAAGGCGTGAATTTCAAAAGGAAGGCCTTACCTTGTCACTGCCCGTTGCCCTTGAAGCTCGGAGACTATGAAGTTCTTCTACCGTGTGCTGACTTCAGGAGATGCCAAAAAGAGAGTTACGGCAGCTACAGCCTAAATTCAGAGCAGGACGTGTGCGCGGCAGGGTAGGCCCTGGGCCCGCCGAGGGCAGGGCCGTGTTCATATTGGAAATAGTCCCTCTAAGTCACAGGGTGGGGACTCACCTCCCCGCAGGCTGCCGGTAGAGACACTGACAATATCAACCGGGTCAGCACAGCCAGGGCGCCATATCGCCTCCTGGGTTTTCTAGGGAAGTCATCCCCTCCCCACCCCCTGACACCCCAAAGCCAAAGATGATTGGTTTTCTTGTATCGTCCCACAGTGTGAAAACGAAGACGATTACAGGGAGACCAAGAGAGCCCAGTCAGAGAGGGAGAGCTCCTCACGACTGACCAGTAGCACTGTGTCTGCAACCCACTGCAACAGGAGCATCAACAGGTATGGACAGGGCCCCTCCTGGGCGGAACTGAGCCACGGCCGGGCTGGGTCTGAAAGCCCCTGTTGGAGTGTAGGACTGTCAGACTCTTAACGAGCATCCTCCGTCTGAAATCCAGGCCTTCGTCCCTCCATTTGTCTAAGGCAGGGACCGGGAAAAACCTTTTTTTTCTGCCGAGGGCCATGTCGACACATAACACTTATAACATTTATAACAGCATTCTTGGGCCACACTGGTCCATTGAGCTCACCCCTAGTGTGACCGCTGCACCTGCTTTTCTTCAGTGGGGCATGTGACGTTAGCTGGTATTGAGATTCCGCAGGTCATATGTGTCCCGAGGGCCGGACATTCCCCATTCCTGCTTAGGGGTTAATGATGCCCAGACATGAGCCTCACGGGGCAGCCCCACATCACTACATAACTTCATCCTTTGCAATGAAAGACCAGTTATTTTGCCCCAAAGGCATTATTTTAAACACAGAGTTTGCCCGTCCGCTCCCCGCAAGGACATACTCTCCTCCCTGAATACACAGTAAACAAACTTCAAGCTGTTGTTTTAATTAAGAGTCACAGCTAAACTAATATGGGGTCTACGGGTGCTTCAATCAAGAATCTTAACCTTCCATGGGTTCATTTCCTGGCCCAGTGGGTTCCCTGTGCAGCTCCTGCCTGTCCTTGTCAGTTTAGGCTTGTAGATTTCAGCAGAGCTTCTGGACAAAGACAGACTAGGAAGAAAAGCTTTGCAATCCACTTCCGAAAAACCAACTAGCGAAAGCCTCTGTGAATCACCGGCGTCCAGTCTGCAATCCTCCCTGGGGAGCACTGGGCAGCTGTTCATCCCCCGGGCATGAGGCCTCCGTGAGTCTGAAAGGGATGCCACTGCAGCCAACAGCAGCAACCACATAACTCGTCAGGACACAGCACTTACTGCAGAAAGGAAGAAGCATAGGTCATGAGAGGAGTGCCCAGCCGAAGCTTTTAGATACAGGCTCAAAGCGTGATGTCACCGAGGATCTGTGCCTCAAGGTTACACCGCCACACAGCAAGGTCCCCCTGACCCTCCTCCACAGGGACTCAGATGGACTCGATGGGGCCCGAATCCCCGCTGTGATAAATGGCTTCCAGCCGGGCAAAGTCTCAGATATCTATTATAAGTGAGTAGCTTCTCATCAGTCATGGGAGTTCTTTCCATGTAGAAATATCACCACCCGGAAACCACTTTCCCTCTGCAGAGACACTCCTCAAGTCTCCCTGTCTGTGTACATAGGAATTTTTAAGGGGAGATTAATGTTCAGCACAACACATAAAAATGTAAACGGAAAAGGTTAGGAAAGATGTAGAGCAGCACTAAAACTCAGAAAAGAAATTGGAGAGCCGCTGCGCAGGCCCGGGCCGGGCCCTCCACAGAGCTGGGCAGTCACCTTGTGGACGAGGACGAGGCCCCCCTCGAGATGACAAGAGGAGAGCCGGGCTGCACACGACCTGTCCACAGAGCCCCGGCGCAGAGTAGATGGTGTGCATGCAGCACACACGCCCGACATAGGGAAAACATGGACCTCCGCTATTTCTCACGTGTGCTGTCCTGAGATATGTGCCTCTCTGTGAAGTGTGAAGCAGTGTTTCACTGCTGAGAGCCACTGAGTCCATTGCAGCCCATAGCAGCCCTGTGTGACAGAATAGAATTGCCCCATCAGGTTTTCCAGGCTACCGCCTTTACAGAGGAGCCCTGGTGGCTGAGCTGATTAGGTGTTGGGCTGCTATCTACAAGGTCAATGACTCAAACGTACCGGCCACTCCATCGGAGAAAGATGAGGCTTTCTACTCCCATAAAGACTTAGTTTCAGAAACCCACAGGGGCAATTCTGCTCTGTCCTGTAGGGTCACTATGAGGAGGAGCCAACTGGATGGTCGTGAATTTATCTTTACAAGAGAGCTTTATCCAGGAGAGCTGTTCCAACCACCATCCACCTTGACATTAGCAGCCGAGCAGTTAACCATTGCACCACCAGGGCTCCTAGAGCAATATTTTGAGGTGCTCTCCTAACTGCCGCAATATGTCACGAGTGCTTCAGGACGCCTGCAGCAACAGGAACCCAGCGTGAAAGCGGTTTCTGCTAGTGCCACCATCACAGGTCGTGTTAACAGTACGACTGAGCCACCGCGCCGGTTTCTCATCATTGAAAGAACTGCTAACATTTCAGCTAAAAGTTAGTGAACGTGAAGGTGTAACATGTTCCACCCAAGTACGAGGACCCCGGGTTTAAAGACCCTGTTCTGGAGCCCGCGCCTGGCAGCACTTACCACCTCGGTGTGGTGTGAGTAACGACGCAGTGCTTGTGAACATGCTTGAGTTCTGCCTAGGAAGGGCGTGTGTGTATCTGCGTGAATCTGCCGTGGTGAGGACTCCGGGCCAGTTGAGCCTGGGGGACAGGGAAGCTCCAGCTAACCTTCTTGGTCAACTTAAATGTATGAACTTGTCATGGTAGAGAAGAGGTAACCATATGCCTCCTAACCAAAAAACAAAACAAAAAATAAGTCAATGGCCACTGAGTCCATGCCATCACATGGTGAACTGGAGTGTGTAGCACAGAGCTGTCCTCCACTGGGGGTTCAAGGTGGAAACCTTCCAAAAACAGATCACCAGGCCTTTCTTCCGTGTTCACTGGGGAGTTCAAACTGCCACACCTTATGTTGGAAGCTGAATCTCTAACCAGGGGACACCTGCATGCCAACTGCAATGATTAAGTGAGTAATTCAGTTTCACCTGCGCATTCTAAAACCATGTAGTGTCCAATATAAGATAGACTTTGGACTGACACTTTGCAAAACAATTGTATTCCCATCTGTCTTTAGCACAGAAATCCCTGTCACCGTCAGGAGAGGCGCCACTTGGGGAATCACCCCAAGTGGTTTCCCAGAGCGCATCTTCTCGGTGGTTAGTGCACAGTGCTTCTTGAACCAGAAATCTATCTCCAGAAATTCTATTCCCACATGTCATCTGCTCAAGCAACATTGAGCTTTAGTTTGAGAGAGGCCCGTGTTTGTGATTTCAACGCTGTGACCATCAACGAAGAAAATTGCTTTTCGAAGTGACTTTTAATGACTTGTTTGCTGTGATACCCAACACGTGCAATTAAGAGGCCATACCCCTGGGGAAGAGGAAGTCCCTATTAAACACCTCTACCTTTCCTAGCTGGCCCTCTGCGCTCTGCGTCCCAAATTAGCAGCGATGGAGTTTATTTTAAACTCATGTGTTTTCTGCAAACAATACGTTTCCATTTTTTTTTTCAAAAGAAAGTAGGTGAATGAACCCTAGCATTATGAGACATGTGAGAAAGACTCAGACATAAGTGTCTCCTTCTTCTCAATGGGTTATTTTTGCGGGTGTTACATTCAGGCATAATTGATTAGTAACCTTAACAATGAGAATCAGAAACTAGAACAGTCTTTCTACTGTGTGTAGTTTGATTTGGTGACCTCAGAAACAGAAGAATTAGATGTCCACCTTTGCAGTGCGCCTCGTGACGGTGTGATTTTTCAATCTAAGAATTAGTGCAAGAACAAGTGTTAACACAAGCCTTGGTAGAAAGAAAGAACTTGTTTATCACGGCCAAGTGGTTTCTCTCTCTCTTTTTTCCCATTACGTGCTACGTGTGCTTGGTTAGAAAAGCAGGGGGTTGGTTGTTTAGGTCTTGTGAGCTCCTTGGATGAACATTCAGAAAATGAAGGTGTTATTGGTAGTCACTTTGTTTGGTGCTAACTCCAGACTAACCCCCTTTCCCCATCGGAAGAGAAAAGACTCCGTGAGCGTAATTTGTGTGTTATTCATGATGTCCCTAATACCATGAAGTTGTCTCCTGCTATGATAAGTCCCAATAAAGCCGGTCCTGCCAACAGGTTCGAAATGGGAGGCTTGGGTCATCTATAAGCCGTTTATCTCTCCCTGTGCTGACGCTGTGACATTCCATTACTGCGATTTCCTTTTCAAGCTTGGCAATCCCAATTAATAAAAATGAAAAAATGCTCCGGTCACCCATGTCACCCCTCTCCGATGCATCGAAACACAAACACGCCAGCGAGGACTTCACTTCGTCCGGCAGGCCCACTGGCAACGGTCTGTTCACGTCGGCCTCCACCAACAGAAAGCATAAGGCCGAGAACCAGCTGCTGGTGCACGCCGGGGACCTCACGGTACGTGGCCGCTCCTCATTCCCCACTCAGAACTGACGGGGCGGGGAGCACACCGTTTGCCTCTGGCTTGTTCTTGTTGGTATTGTGTGACCTTGAGTCCATTTTCAGTTCATAGCTATCCCAGATGACAGAGCAGAACCCCCCCTGAGGCTTTTCTTGGCTATCTTCTTAATGCTTTGGCGGTGTAATGGTTACATTTGGGACTGCAATCCACAAGGTCAGCAGTTCAAAACCACCAGCTGTTCCATGGTAGAAAGACAGGGATTTGTACTCCCGTGAAGCGTTTCAGTCTCGGAAACTCACGGGGCCTGTTTTACCGCGCCCAATAGGGTTGCCATGAGTCGGCATCGACTCGGTGGCGGTGAGAGTGAGAGCGAGTCTTTCATGCAAGTAGATCACAAGGTCATTTTCCCCACAGAACCAATGGATGGATTTGAACCGCCGACCTTTCAGTCAGCAACTGAGTAACCTTTGCACCACCAGGCCTTCTTGCCTCTAGCTCAGCACAGTTTAAGCACACGTTTGAGGCCCCATAGAGACATCCATAAATCCTCTGTCTGGGGAGAAGTGGTAAAGAGTTCCCCCTCTCTCCTCTCCCCACAAAGGGCCTGAGCATGAAGGGACCAGATGGGGGCCTTTGAAGCCTCTTCTGATTGTCACCAGAGGCCTTTACTCAGGATTCTATTTCTCATCCTGAAAGGAAAAGGACTCCGTGTGCTGCCATCTTGAGCAGAGTAAATGAGGAGTCAGAACCAGCCAAGCCATTTATTTGGAAAGATCCCTTGACTGGGGCAGAGTTAAATCTGGACTTAAAACTGCGTGGCAGACTCCAGAGGCTCCCTCTTCTCCTGTTGATCAGAACCGGACCCACAATGCGGTACCACCAAGCAGGCCTAACAGTAGGCTTCCAAAGGGTCACAGCCTGGGAACCCCCGCGGAGCAGGGTGCTGGGGTCAAACTCGACCCACAGCAGCAGGTTTACCTTCTCCTCTGGGCAGCCTCACTCGGGAGCAGCAGTCTGGGTTCTCAGCCACCTCTTCACCTCCTCTCCTTATGTCCCCAAATGCAAAGAACCATTCTGCTCACACTCCTGGTGGTTCTGTAGTCACAAAACCGACCTCAAAGTAGCTCAGGAAATAGGAGGTCTGGGTAGATTTTCATCAGCTCCACTCCCATTTCCCTCTCTTATGGTCACACAAAATTGCCTCTCTCAAAAGAAAAGAAACACAACAAAACCAACCAATCACAGCAACCCTCTAGGGCAGAGTTGAACTATCCTCAAGGGATTCCAAGACCTGATCTCTTTATGGGAATAGAAAGCCTCATCTTTCTCCCACGGAGAGGAGAGTGGCTTCAAACTGACAGCCTTGCAGTTAGCATGCCGACCCATAAGCCCCTGTGCCACCAGGGCTCCTTAAAATGTCTCTCCCAAAAAACAAACTGTGACTCCCACTGACCTTGTAGAGGAATGATTCTCAACCTTCCTAATGCCACAACCCTTAATGCGGTTCCTCATGTTGTGAGACACCCCCAACCATAAAGTTATTTTTGTTGCTACTTTCTCACTGTAATTTTGCTACTGTTATGAATCGGGCGACCCCTGTGAAAGGGTCATTCGACCCCCAAAGGGGTCTCGACCCACAGGTTGAAAACTGCTGTTGCAGGGCAGGGTAAAACTGCCCCTGTGAGTTTCCAAGACTAACTCTTTACCGGAGTAGGAAGCCTCATCTTTGCCAAATTGTCCCTGATTGAGAACTCCTGCGGTAACAGGTCAGATAATAAAAATTTTAGGCTTTATGGGCCACACGATCTCTGTCATAACTATTCACCTCTGAGACTGTAGCATGAAAGGAGCTATACAATACATCAAATGGGTACAACTGGCTTCCAATAAAACTTTATTTATAAAAAGGGCCAGTTGTGGCTCACAGGCTGTGGATTCTTGTTCCGGGATATCTAAAGGCTAAGCAACAGTCAAGTAAGGTGTGAAGGGCTTCACAGGGAGAGGAAACAGCCTATGCAAAGGTCCTGCGGGGGAAGTTCAAGTGCCCCGGGAAACAATATCAGGAGAGTGACTGAGAGACAGGCAAGGGCCAGGCTATCACAGCCATGGGCCTGGTTTTGTTCTTTGGTGAAGAGCAAGCGAACATTATGGGAGGGTTTTAAGGACCATTTTGGAAGCTCAACATCACGTTTCCCTGGTCACCTATAACAATATCATTGACCCTTGAAAAATAATACATAAAATCAGTCCATATATAGACAAGCCTCTGCATATGTGCCATTTCAGTGACTCCTGAGGAATCAATTTGCATTCCATCACCAAATGTTCTTCTATGGTCCATGTGTTTAGCTATAATAGGGGCTCTGTAAATAGTTGCAGAAGGAATATATACCCCTAGGGAATCATAATTTTTAATTAATTTTCCCACAGATCAATAGTGGGTTGGGTTTTTTATTTGTTTGTTTCTTAAACACACCTTGAATAATTTCTTGGAATTCCCTTTAGCTTTTCATGTTCTTCCCAGACTGCTAATGAGAACCAGTGCATTTGTGACTCAAGTGGGAGGGCAAGTGTAGCTTGCATTCTGGACCATCTGCATCAGTAGCACCTGGAAACTTGTTAGAAATGCAGTCTCCCACCCCGCACCCAAGACCAGGAACTGAGAGAGGGTCCCAGCCGTCTGTGTTTTAACAAGCCCCTTGAGTAAGGTGATGCCCGGTGAACTTGGGGAATCCCTGGCCTCACTAACAGGGAAACACAGAGCCCTTCTCCCTAACCCTTAGACCTCCACCCACAGTAACTATTTGTGACCTGGCAAGTTCCCTAACACCACCAAGCCTCTGTTTCTGCGTCTGTGAGAGTGCGCCTCATAGGACTTCCTCTTTGCTAAAGAGAGAGCGTGAGATTAGACACCATTTGAAAAGCCCTCAGCGGGAGCCCTAGCAAACCCGTATTTCTTTGTCTTCATTGAAATAAAATGAAAACAGCACCACCCTTGTGATATAGAGGACCGAACAAAAGGTATTCTCTTGAATGAGCCACTCTGTCCAGCCGGTGGGCAGTTTCTCAAAGACTCGTGTGTTGTCTGTTGTTTAGAAAGCAGCGCACAACAATTCCGAAAACATTCTCCTCCACAAGTCACGGCTGCAGACGGAGCCCTGGTCTCCCGTCTCCAACGGGCACCGAGACTGCAAGAGGCAGAAGCTTGTCTTCGATGACATGTAAGTGTGGGTTCTCATTACCATGCTGAGGGATGGGATGCAATGGGACCTCCACAGGTAAAAGGACCCCGTTCAATCACGTGACTCGGTGAATTCATTGTCACCCTTTCCGCGTGAACTGGGTTCTGAATATAGAATATGCTGCTGAGCCCTTCTGGGGCCGGTCCAATTCAGCAAGTAGACCAGAGTGAGTAGGGTTGGCGTGCAGGAAATTTAGTCAGAAAGCTAAAGCCAGTGGCTCTACTGAGTCGTACTTGTCTAAACACCTGTATGTTGAGCAGTTGACAGTGCACCGCTGGAAATGGGCATATTTTTTCAATTATAATGGACCAAAAGTAATAGTGATTCACTCCTGAAAGCCTTTTCCCCTGAAAACGCCCTATTCTTTATAACATAATGGACGATTCATAGGCAAGAAAAAGCATCCTTTATCCTAGCACAGACCTGAAGCCCAGGTGTCATGGCCATTCCCGACATCCATTTAAAAGAGGTGACACAGGAGAAAGAGTGGCTCCAAAGAATATCTGAGAAGACTCTTGGTTATGGATTGAAATGATGTCCTTCAAAAATGTATCTCAAGACCCTCCCCCTTTTGGGTCTTGTTTTGGAAATAAGACCTTTCTTTCATTATGATAATGAGTTCATAGGGGTAGATCCTAACCCCAGTCCCTTCAGAGTGGTGTCTTATAGGGTAGTACAGACAGATGGACAGCAGGAAGAGACCATCCCAGGAGCCCATAGAGTGCCCAGGGCTACGGACGAGGGACAGTCGTCCCCTCAAGCTGATGTCCTGGTTGGACTTGCAGCCTCCCAAACAGGGAGATGGTAAGTGCCGATGTTGGGAAGCCCCCCACTTTGTTGTAGTGCCTTACACGGACTCAGGGAAGAACCAGCCTGGAAGACTAGAGGCTTCTCTGAGAAAGAAGAGGGCTGCATTGTAGTTCTCAAGCACTTCTTGGGTTTTGGCAAATGACTTAGGGCATATCATCTTGGAGTTGAGAGCCAAATCCACTGTTTTGTTGTTTTATTTTGTGAACACTTTCCGAGATGACTGGATGTCCACAGGTTGAAGGGTGGCATAGGAGGATGCGTGGTTTTTCTCTTCTTCCCATGGCAACTGCAACTCCCTGCAGCCCCACTCACTTGGCCCTCATGACCTGGTGGTAATTAATCCCCCAAAGGGGTATTTAATTGGGCAAAATCAGTTGGTCAAAGAAATGTCTCCTTAGTGTTGGTGTAGATTAGTCACATGAGCTTTAGCAAAGTTTTAAAATGGTAGACGACAGTGTTAGGGCCTTGGGAAGTTTCATAGCAAAGTCCTAATCCACCCATGTGATCAAATGGAACGAGTGGCATTCAGATAGTGGAGCAGGAACCACTTCCATTGGGCTGTGTTTTAAGAGCCTGGTACATGTAAAAGAACTGATGGAAAATTAAGATGCAAGGAACTTCCCATTGTTATGGACCGGGAGACAAAGCCAGAAGCAGCAACCACTAAATGGTTGTGCTTCACGCGGCAGTTCTTTGGCCTGTTTTCAAGGGGGAATGCTTCTCAATCTGTTAGGGCTGTGGCTAATATAATTTTGTCACTATCTGTATCAACGAAGAGGCTGTTATCATTTGCGCTTCCCATTAGCAGTACATATAATTTTTCTGGCTGACAGCTACAATAAAACTGTGTCTCCTTTTATGGATACAGATATAATAAAAAATTTTAAAAGCATGCTTCCATATCCATCATATGGAGAGAGAGATGTCGAGTTCCAATTGCCATGTGTCCCGATTGATTTGAAATCCATAACAGTAAAATAAATATGCAACACCAACAGTCTTTCAACTACTAAACCAAGAAAGTTGCAAGAGAGTTCTTCAAGCTTGACAAACAAAAGGCAGTAATGTCTCTTCCTGAAAACAATTAAAATAAAGCCCTGGGGGCATAGTGGTTAGGAACCATGGTTGTCTAGTGGTTACATATTGGGCTGCCACTTATATGGTCGGCAGTTTGAAACCACCAGCCTCTCCAAGGGAGCAAAACTGGCTTTCTACTCCTGTAAACAGTTACAGCCTCAGAAACCCACAAGGGATCACATGACTGTGAGTCAGCATTGACTAGATGCTAGTAAGTTTGGATTGCTTTGGTTTGGAGTAGTGGTCACAAGCAATGCGCTGCAATTCGAATGGTTAGCAGTTTGAAGCCATCAGCCACTCCAAGGGAGAACAATGAGACTTTCGACTCCAATAAAGAGTTAAAATCTCAGAAACCCACAAGGGCAATTCTACCCTGTCCTGTAGGGTCACTGTGAAGAAAGGTCATGGGTGGAAGCCAAGAAAGATAGAGCCAAATTCAAAACTAGATCATTTGCACCAGAGTAATTTAGAATTGATTGAGATCCAACAAGTAACAGATGCCCTGCTGTCATTTAATTTTTAAGGCGGCATCACGCAGCTTTATAATAAAATAAACTCATCTTTTTTGTATTATAAATACTCGTTAATGGGTGAGTAAACATGCAGTTGAGACAACTGCTGAATGGGGCGGGTGCTCATTAAGAAGTGCTAAATGAACCCAGCTGAATTTTACTCCCAAGGGTTAACACCCTCACTCTTTCTCTCCTTTTCCATTAATGTAAGGAATCCTCAAATCTAAAACACAGCAACAGCAGAAAGCTCTCTGCCCTTTTCGTCAATTCTGACTTGTAGTGACCGCCATGTGGGCAGTTTCCGAGACTGCACATCTTTAAGGGAGTAGAAAGACGCCTCTCTCTACCAGGGACCAGCAGCCAGTGGTTTCACGCTGCCGACCTTGAAGCCAGTGACTTTTCACACGAGGCCACCAGGGCCCCTTATCTCTCAAATCAGTATAAGTAAACTTAAATACGTGTCTTGGGCTTCCAAACCTCTTTTCCTTTGTTATTTACCAGTTAAGCAAGCCCCGAGTTTATATCATCAGGGCACGGAGAGAACCGAGCCGAGTCACATTTATTTTAAAAATCCCATCCAGGTCAGCTTGTTCTGACTAAATTGCAGGCTCAGCTTGGTGGCAGTGCGGCTTCATCTCCTCCTTCACGAGAGCGCCTTGACACCTGCCATGCTCGGGTGACACTGGTTGTGGCTGCAAAATTTGGACGGAAGGAAGAAAGGGGAAACGTTCTGCACAGATTTCAGTGGCAGTGCCTGCAACTTGAAGCCCAGAAACAGATCCATAGGCGTTGCAAAGCCAGGAGAGCTGTCAGGGCGCCAGGTGTCATAATGAATGACAGGAGAGTTGCTGGCCAGAGAGCCTCCGAAGAGAACGACTGTGCTGTGGAAGCCTGGGTACCGAAGTCCTGAGCAGAGCTGGGTGAGGAAATACTTGGCGGGGAAAGCGAGCCTCTCATCCCAGCCCGCCGTATCACCGCCGCGTCGGAAGCCAGCAAGCCCAGAGAGCCAGAACTGCCTGCTGTTCCCCGAAGACTGAGCTGTCTCCTGTCCAGATCTCACGCGGAAGAGCTGGCCATGATCAGCACGTGCAGCCCAGCCACCCAACAAAGTCCCATCTGTCCCCGTGGCCCAGATTACAGGAGCCAAGCTAGCTGAACCCCCGGGATGTAGAGGGAGAGGCGCCCCCCGGCCTCTCGTTGCTGAAGGCCATGGTGTGTGAAATGTGGCGGGGAGAAAGAAAGAGGGACTTGACATTTGTAATGTAATTATACTCGGCAGTCTCGTAGCTAAAAGGATTTTAATTTTATGGAGGATGAGAAGATTCCCATACGGAAAAGGTCGGCTCTCTTGTGGCATGATTTAGCAAAAGGACACCCGTTGAAATCTTTGAGGAGGTGGTATTACAGCAAGATGCTCCCAAGGGGGCTCATCGTGGGCACTGCCCTTCTCCTGAGGGTCACTGCTAGGCTGGGCCCCTTTCATTGGTCTTTATATGGATTTTTTTCCCCTTCCCATTATGAAATCCCTCTCTCAACCAGGTCCTTATTTTGTTCTAACTACAGCAGAGAGGGGGAAGGTTGAAGCTTGGGCACTTGAGAGGGCTGGGGGACAAAAACAAAGCCTTCCAGTTCTTCTGATGACAATCTGCTGATTTGAAGGGCGTTGGCACAGCCGTTTTATTTTCAGTGGGACGCTGGGAGAGGAGCCACAACCAGCAGCAGTGCAGTTGACAATTTTCCATTCACACAGAAAGTACGTGCCTTTAGATCGAGGGGCAGAAAGCTGCCACGTGGGGCCTGTGCATCCTGCAAGACACAGGCTGCCTTCTGCAGGAGGCCAGGAGAGAAGCAGCTGTCTTCAGGAACGCCTGTGTGTAAGAAGCAGGAAGTGAGCCTGCCCACGTCTGAGAAGCCAGGTTCCAGGGGCTCTGGGGCCCCAACCCACCTCAGGGTGGCAAAGGCAAAAGCTGTGTTTGAATCCTGACCGCCTCCATGCAGCCTGCCTGCTTCCCTCGGGAAGCTCCCAGGATGGGAGAGGATGCCAACAGCAGCCCCCCACCGTTCTTGATGCCGAAGCAGAGCTCCAAACAGGCTCCTTCCGGTTGGGCCCCCTGCTGAACTTGTGCCTGTCCATATATATATATATACTTCATCTATACTGACGCCGAATCTACAGTTCAACAAGATCTGTATGAACCACTTGGGATCTTATTAAGCTGTAGATTCCGATGCAGTATATCTGAAAAGAGGCGAACATATTCTCAGGAGGGGGCCAAACCTGGGTTGGGGAAACGCTGACTGGAAGCCCTGTGCTCAGGTGCCCTGATCTATTGTGATCGCTTGTCGTAGGGAGGTGCCATGGCGTTGGTCACAGCCCCTTTTGACCTTACGTTACGTGCAGCAGAACAAAACACTGTCTGGCCCCACGCCATCCTCGCCATCTTTCCTGTGCTTGAGCCCCTGGTGGGCAGCCACTGTGTAACTCCATCTCCTCTTTGTCGCGGCCCCTCTACTTTACCCTGCATCATGGCCTTCTCCAGGGACCGTCTCTCCTGGCAACGCGTCCAGAGCTATGTAAGA